CGGCCCCCGGGATTCTGGCAGCGACTTTGCGTAGGTTTGCCGGTGTCCAGGCCTCTGGGGCTCCTGAGAAATATACGCCGACCGCGTAGGTGGATTCGTGAATCTCGACTTCAGCTCTAGCTCTATAGGTTTTTTTTTTTTTTTTTTAAATTCTCCAAGATGGCGAACTGCCATTGATTTCTCTCCTCCTCATATGGAGATTCATCGATATACCGTTTTCCCCAGTTACGCAACATAGCTCAAAAAAGGGGGTGCTTTTCGGGGGCTTTCGGTAATCTGCGAAGATCCGGTTGGGGGGCCCTTCACTTTTCCAAGTCCCTCCCTCCTTAGTGATGGTAGTAAAGGAACTAATGCAGATTTGTTCTTCACCTTGTCTGATTTTCTTGACTTGAGGGCTTTGACTTGGCTGCCACATGTTTGGGGAATGTTTGTCACTAAGCCTCCAGCGCTGCTTATTGTTGTGCCTGTTTCAGCCCAAGGCTCTTTCTAAAATTGTGACAGTTGTATCAAATACGAGACCGTTTCCTTAATGTCTTAGCCTCAAGCTCCCTTCCCATCACCAAAGCCAAAATTAAGGTCCCCAATCAGGGGTGCTAATTATCCTTCTACTACTTAACAGGGTTTAACGTCTAACTGTAGAACGCAGTCCTTGATGCTAGTGCCTTAAGGCCCTACACCCGCAGTGGACTACAATTCTTACAGAGAATTGGCATCTGGTCATCAACTTTTTTTCTGCAGTCCTCCTGCCTTTGTGTGCAAGTTCCCGCTGTCTGGCTAGGAAGATTGCGGGAGTGTGCTTGGAAATGGCTGGGGCCTGCTATGACTCTGCAGTTCTGATGGGGGCGACGCCTTCCTTCTTATTCATGGAATGTTAGAATGCACGTTTTCTCCTTTCCGGTTCTGGTGGCTACCTCAGTTTCTTTCCCGGTGGTCTCCTTCCATTTTCGCTACTCTTTTGCTGTTGCCTACTGCAGTGCTGTAGACGGAATCCGCTTTGCATTTGCCCAGAAAGAAAACTGATTACTGAGATGGGAGGGGAAGGGAAGTTGGAGGAAAAAAGGAGTAGTGGCTGGAAAAAATGAGAGGGAAATACGAATTTGGAAAAGCGCTGCGGTCTAGGGATTGAAGTTGGTTCCGTCAGGGCTGTTCAAGTTATTCCAAGCAGAGGAGGAGAGCAGTGAACAAATCTGCTACACACAGGCTTTATTTCAGGAGACTTTCAAGCAACTTTAAATTTGATGCACATGACTGAGTATGATAGACAAGAAGTGTTGAAAGAGTTTATAGCTGAATCTTTACCATTGCATGAGAGCTTTCAAGCACTGCCTGACTTGACCCAGTTTATAAATAACTTAAGTTTGCAGTTTGTTTTGTGTCAACTATCAAATATTAAAGATTCTTTGTATAGACTGGTCTTAGGAGGCAGACCACACTCTTAACTGTGTAATCAGATTAACTGATATAAAACGTGTAATCATGTAGGATTCAGAAAAGACTGAGTCTTGATTTTACATGAATGAAATCTGGCTGACTGTCTTGTAGAATAAACTTGGCACAATAGCCTTTCTTGTTGCATGGAGCCTTGAAAGGAATTAACCACAATTCATATTTTTTGTTTTTCTTTTCTTCCTTCCTTTCTTTTTTTTTTTTTTTTTTTTTTTGTGTGTGTGGGGGGTGTAGCCAGTAGAAATAGATATGATTGTAGGAAAAGACCGGGAAGGTTTCTTTACCAACGGTTTGACTCTTGGTGCAAAGAAGTGCTCAGTGATCAGAGATAGTCTATACGTCGATGGTGACTGCACAATGGACATCCGGACAAAGAGTCAAGGTGGGGAGCCAACATACAATGTTGCTGTGGGCAGAGCTGGTAGAGGTAAGTAACACATTCTTTTGTTTAAAAATTGCATGCTACATTACAACTTATTAAGCAGTTTCTGTTAACATTTTGAATAAAAGTTAGTCCATAATGGCTATTAAGGTGGTTTTTGTGAACTGCCCAGCACTGAGGAGAAGCACTGCTTTAGATCTAGCTACTCTCAAGCAGCAGCACATAAAGCCTAGCTTCTGAGATCCTGGTTTTAGTCTAAAGTAGAACATTGATGTCAACTCATTTTCAGCTTTACTAAACTTAAAAGTCTCTTGAACTGTTTGACATGTCAAATGATAATCCTGTGGTGTATCAGGTTGTTAAATTGTTTAAATCATTTGGCTATTTTAGTCCCTTTGAGTGTTTGACCTTTAGATCTCTTTCCTTTTTTTCTTGCTTGCATTTTAATTATATCACTACTCAGCATAAAGAAGAAAAAATTAACATTAGTTCATTTTTCTATTTGGAACTTTGCTGAGGACGAGAGAGTTAGATGAGGGTTTTGGAGTAAGTTGTCCATTTACTAAAATATTTTCAAAGACTAAGTATATCTTGAGATTTAGATTTGTAAAGTAGGAAGTTAATTTAGTTTACATACTTGGTCCAAAAATTCTGGTATCTCCAAGGTTGTTGCCAACATTAAAGAAACTTAACTGTACTAAAGAAGTCTCCCTACTTTCTAAAGAAACCTTTGAAATTGAGATTTATTATGGCAGCTAATTGATTTACAAATACATTTAAATGTGCTAACCTGTGTAAATGTTGTATAAAGAGAGCTTCTGTAGCTTCATATGGCAGACACATCTAATTTTAACACCAGCTCTACCATGTACTTGAAGCTACTGAGTTATAATTTAATGCTAAGGTACTACCAACTCCCTGTGATTATCCTAAAAGTTACTCTTATTCTGGTGTGAGTTGATGTTTATGAGTATTTATAGGAAAATTAGATGACTTTAAAATAGACAAATCTCTCTAAACATCAGATGTGCTCAGAGATAAATATGCTAAAAGGCATCAACCACATGACTTGAAACCAGAGTGAGATTTTCATATCATACAGCACTACTGACATCTAGTGGCAGTAAATATAAAATTTGACATACTCCTATTTGGGGGATAGACCTTTGAATTGCATCATAGGAGAATCTCATTAGAATCTGTAAACCTCTTTTAGGATTTTAGACTCAGTTAAAAACAAGACTAGCACAGTGAGGATATCAGTAAGCACAAGCCTTAAATATTTAATTTGGCCTTTTCTGAATGCTATTTGAATAGTACTGAAAATGCTATTTAAAATTTGATCTTTATTTTCCTGCGGAAATATTAGACACATTTAGCCTCACTGGTAAGACTTAATAGCTTGTGCCCATCAAGTGTGTTAAATTTGGGGAGAATTTGTAAATAAGTAACTCCCCAAGTTTTTAAAGTTTATTATTTTGGGGCACAAGTAATCGTATATCCTTGTCACATCAGCCAGAAATGTTTTGTCTTAAAATAGAGAATAAACTATCGCACTCCCCCCCCCCCAAGCTAGTGTAAAGATAGTTGAATAGTACTTTGCTGCTGCATCAATTGGGCTTCCAATGTGCAGTCAGTAGTTACTATCTTCTGTTTTTAGTATGTTACTAGTTTGAAAGTTCTTTTTGGAAACCTAATTTGACTTCAGTGCTTGACAGTTCATGGAAAACTAACTTAATGTTAACTTATTAATCATCGTTCTGTCTGCTAAAACTTATGTGACTTTCTTGATTAACACTTCTTTTGAAACACTTTTCTTCTTTCTCTTTCAGTCTTGGTCTTTGTAATGGGAAAAGAAGGGGTCCATGGAGGCGGATTGAATAAGAAGGCATACTCAATGGCAAAATACTTGAGAGACTCTGGGTTCTAGCTGCTAGGCAGACTGTTAAGTATTAGGGGAAAATTGCTCTTAAACTTTCCTAGCTGTAAGCTTAAGTCTTAATTCTGGAAATTTTATTAGCAATGCAGGGTGATGGGGTATGAACCTGTGTCTCCTTTGTATCCCTCTGTTGGTGGGGAAAGATGTCTTTCTTTCTGCCCTCCCCCCCTTAAATAATTCTGTTCACTTTTGTTTTGTTTCCTTGTGTACTCCAGCATTGGTTATAGTCATGGGAAAGGAAGGTGTCCACGGAGGCACACTTAACAAGAAAGCATATGAACTCGCTTTATACCTGAGGAGGTCTGATGTGTAAGCAGCCTCTCCCCATCTACCTAGCAACTGTCTTCATCACCACCCCAATTATGGTCACAGTGCTACCAGACTAGATGGTAGCTAATTTTTCTTTACCTGTTTTCTAATGTCATGATTCCTGTTTGCCCAATGGATCATTTGTATGTTAACCACTGTATGTAACCAACCCTTATCTGGCAACGTAATTGCAGCACAATAATGATTTGCATGAACCTTGAAATTGGGGGGAGGGGGCATGCCAAGTTGGGCATCACTTGTCTTAGCAATTAACGGGATACTGATTACTAAAATAAGTTAATATTAAGCAAGGTGCCGGTTGTACAATCTCTAATTTGATCAGTGTCTTTTCAGCACTTTGAGCGTTTACTTGGCTCATTTAGTCTTCCTTTTGTAGCGCATGGTTGGGAGGAAAAAGTGCATGCATCTTTCCTTCACTCCTCTCTTGTCCCCACCCTCTCCCTTCGCACATAAGCCATTTGGTTTGCTTCCATCTTCTTTTATGCAGTGCCTGGTTTATTTAACCAATTAATATCCCTTTTGTTGATGAGCTATTGAGAGCTGCAGCAGTTTGCTTTTAGTATTGTTGTTGCACTTGAGCAGAGACAAACTTTTTCTGTCATAGTGTCTATAGGACATGAAGAGTGCAATGGCAAAACAAGAACAAAAAGCACTTCCTCCCATGACCTTACAGTAAACATATTGATTGAATCCCCAGGGACATTCCATCATTGCAATAGCTCAGATTTTTGTTCCTGTCTTTTTCTTTGCACACCAGCTCTACTCTTTAGTAAAATTGTAAAAGGCTGCCATTATAAACATAAGGTATCCCAACATAACCATCTGGAGTGTGTCCAGTTTGTTCTTCATAGGACCAATTTTATTTGCAGCTTGAGTTTTTATATGAAGTTGCATTATTGTGGACTTGGCTGTCTTGTGATGAATTTTTTCATATGTATTTTGTGCCATAATATTGTTAAAATGAACTGTTGCTATTGTGAGATGGATTTTAACTGACCTATTAAGGGTTTCTTTCGAATGGCACTACTTTAGGGACATTCTAGTATTTGCTTCTATCGTTTGGGCCTTGTGGATAATGTACAGATTTAAAAACAGATCTTGTTGCTGATTGTCCATTTCTTTCCCTGCACTTTGTTACATCTGGGATACAGTCTAACTCATCTGATTTAATATGCATTTAAAAAAATGCCATAACTATTAAACACCTTGTTTACAGACAGATGAAATAAATTTATTCCAACCAAATACTCTAGACTCCTGTTGTTTATGTAAATTGTTGGTTTATTGTTAGTTGATTTTTGACACACTGGGCATATACAGTATAGGTCAGAGTCTGCTGTAAGCATAACATTTTAAGCTAAAATTCAGTTGGTGGCCTGCTTCATCTCAAGTGGCATTATACATAAAATTAAGTGCCTGGGAATCCCTTTTTAATGGGCTTTGATCTATTACACATGGCTTTTAGTAATTTCAGGTCCATCTGCAGACTTTTGTGAGTAAAACTGACTTACCTGTTAGAAAATAAGTATTTTTCTCTTCTTACTGGTCACTAGATGTGAAATCTACTCAACACTAGTAGTAGATCTAGTGACCAACTCACTAGAAGTGAAGTCTAAGCAGGTAGGGGCCACAGTACCAAGAAGGGTTTCTGCACTGTTGTGGATGCTACTGTGTTGAAATGTCCTACGACTTAAGATTTGGAGGCTGTGTTGGCAGGCTTAAGTCAGCCAGCTGGGCCCCTCCCACAAGATCTTCCCTAGGTAGTGTGTAAGAGAATTAGGATGTTTTTGTGCTTTCTAGCTTTGGAGTGACATGTTGACCATGGCTACATAATAGGGAGGTTTAATCCCAGAGGGTCATAGATCCCTGGTATGTATGTATTGAAGTTTATTTAAATATGTAAGATTATTTAGATAAATCATTATTACCACCAACTGCCAAGCAGAAGCTTAGAGTCTGGGTGCTCAAGAGTCTGGGTCAAAGTAAAACTCAGTAGATGGTTATGATGTAGATTTGGAGTCTGGGGTTCCACCCTGCAGGTGGAGATTCCATAACTCAGGAAATTTAGAAACAGTCACTGGGTCAGTCTGATTCACTTTAAGTGGCCTGTATACTTCCCTTTGAGAAACAATGAGTTTGGGATAGGAATTAATCTCTTGCTTTATTTAAAATATACTTTGCATAACTAAAATTTTGTTTTCTTTGACAAGTCGTCTGGCAGGCATTCGTGCTGAATATGACTGTACATATAGGGATGTAAAAGTATGGAAGATACAGGATTTTGGGCTACTTTAGTAGCTGGATATATCCTAGAAATTGGAAAACAAAACGTATCACACAACCACCCATTGGATTCAATTTCCACTGCTGGGAGGGGAGAGGACTTGCTAGAAGTCCAAACCTAGCCTTCATGCAGTATCCTCACTTGTACTCCTTGACTCTAAAATAAAAAATTTTTAAATTTTGTTACATCTGTTACCAGCTTTTGGCCTGTTGAGATCTCTGTTAAGGACAAAAGAAATTGTGGTTAGATTGTGAAGATTTGAAATTTTACAGTAATAGACATTCACACTTTAGTCGTAAAGAACTGGAGTGACTGCAGAAAGCAATGACCAAAATTGTAAAACCCTTAAGTGCGCCTACAAGCAGATGGGGGGGCGGGGAGAGCATGGGGAGTGGGGTAGAAGATGGTAGAGGGTAACTGTATCACTAAAACTGTAAATAATGAAACTAGTCATTCTCTGGTTCTCTACCCACGATGTCGGTAGAAAATAGGGAAGTGCAACGTGTGTACTCTGCTTTGTACTTAGTTCTTGAAATTAAGCATATGGAAATGAAGCTACACAAATTTATTTACCAGAATGTCAATCACACAGCATTACTTACGATAACCAAACTTGTAAAACTTCTACAAGATTCAACTTCAAGGAGTATGGGCTTAATAAATGATTGTATGTCCATAGGACAAAACAGTCATTGAAGAATGACATGAGAAAATGCTCACCAGTGAATATTAATAGGATGTAAACAGGTGTTACATACAGTGTAAATGCATACAGTATAAATACATGTATTTCATATATGTATTTCTGGAGGCAATATATTAAGATAATTTATTTCTGGGGTAAGTTTCCAGGTGATTTTTCGATTTTCAGTGTTTTAAATAATGTTACTTTTATAATCAGAAAATTTTAAATCTTTTCGAAAATAGAATTTGTACTTTAATTTTATTTGCTGTCAAAAAGCTACATACATATATACATAGGTAATTTCATACCATGAAACTACAGATTTCAAGTGAATATTTAGAGAACTAATAGTCCTAGCCAGTGCTCTTAAATAAGACACTTCATATTTTTTTTACTTAGTTGTAAATTTGTCCGTCTCTTTTAGTTAAAAGTAGCAATCTGAAGTAAAAAAAAAAATTTTTTTTGCTTCAGAAAAACTCCTAACTTAAATTGAAAGGAACTAGGTCCTTGATCTAAACTGTGGATTAAGAACTAAGAGAATACACCTCTAATGCATAGTTACATGTTATTGTGACTTCTAATTTTTTTCCTTTTAAAATACTCTGTTTTAGGTAAGATTTTACTATTTAATGATTATTTTGAATGCTATTACTTATTGTGTATTTATGTGCCAGACATTGAGCTAAATGTTTTGTCCTCGCACCCTACATTAGGTTAAATGAAATTATCCAAATGACCAAACAGGTTTAAAAAGGTTAGGGCCATACAATTATGTCAGATTCCAAACTGCTTAACTCCCATGGTAACTTTTGATGTCCTGTTTCTCAGGCCTTTGTTTTGTTTTTATCAAAAAGGGGGAAGGGGAAAGAGGTAGTATCAGATAGTTGATGTTGAATTCAACTTTTATTTTTCAAAGTAGAAATACCTGTTTCTTTTTCTGATTATAAAAATTTTTTAAAAGAAAAGCTATTCAGAAAGTAAAATATCCCCTCTTGTTAAATTTCTTTTAAAATGCATTACTTTTTTACGGCTCATATACCTAGTGTATTTATTCTATAACATGCTTTCATTTACTAACAATTTCCCATGCCAGTAATGATAATATTTATATGTCTATTCTTGACAAGTTACATAGAAGTCTATACTGCAAAGATGTGCCAAAATTTATAACAGGTTATCATAATGTATACTATTTTATTTCTGGAATAATTTTGGCAGCAGTATTAACTTTTGGGAAGATTACCTAATTGCTTGTGCGCAGTGAGTTACCTTGTATAAAATCGTAAGAGGATGTGTATTTATCTGACCTCAGTCATTATCCCTTCATAGGATACATATAAATAAGGAGAATGTCATAAGTAATACTATCGTAGAACAAATATTTACTGGTTCTTAAAGTGGAAAACATGTTTATTAACATTCAAACTCCCCTCATACAAGGCCATATAAAAACTTTTAGCATTTTAATTATACATTAGTCTACATTTTCTATATAGTTACAGTGATATATAATATAATTTAGTTTTTTGTAATATATTGTTTCAATACATCATTAGTTCTGTTAAACATAAGCACTTATTTTCAAATCCAATACTTGGACAATTTCCTCTGTACATAGATTAGCTGGGCTAATTAGCATACGATGCTCTTATTAAGAGGTATATGATCTGAGTATTAACGGTTGCTGAAGTTTGGTATTTTTATGCAGCGTTTTCTTTTTGCTTTAATCACAAAAACACAAACCTTAAAAATACTGAAACTGAAAATTCAGTAAGTAAAGTCCAGAGACATTACTTTAGCTGCTGAATCAAATCCATACATAACACTATCATATTAAAAACCTTAAAAAAAAGTTTGAAATCTGCACTAGTACAGACCGTTCCTATCAGGATAAGACTACTTGTGAGTAAGAAGGAAAAAGGAGAAAAAATGCTAAATTTGTTGTCTCTCACTAATGATGGCAATTTGGGGAAGTGTCAGAACGAATATAGTTCAACTCAATAACTCTAGGTAACTTCGTGGAGTTGGAAGTAGGCTTATTAGCTCATGCTGGGTGGCTGCAGCACTGACCTTGTGTGTAAAACAAACATTTACATACTGTGATCTAGGTCTTAATTGCAAGCTATACTGAGGATTTTTTAAACATGTTTTGGCTATATTTCATTCCAGAAGAAGAGCTGATTTGATGCCTGAGTTACAGCACCAGTCTATTATTACTTATTAGTGAATAAAGTACACTCCTGCAGATAAACACCAGATCAAAAAGCTTGTTTCAGTAATCTGATTAAACTGTAGAATACTAAAAATAAGTTACTTCTACAGAACTCTGAAGGGAGCAAAAAAACCCAAATTACAGTATATTCCTAAATAAACATTTAAAGGGAAATAAACCCCTCACCCTCTGAAGGTCAGACAGTGTTTGCTATGTTGTAATCCCGTTCACTGTTTGGCTGTAGTTGGACCACGACACTGTGTTCATTGCTTTCATTTTCTGCATCACTGCTGTCGGTATCTTCATTGTCATCTTCCTCGTAGTCTGAAGATTCTGTCATGTTCTGATGTGAGCGGGATTCCGACAAAGCCCCAAATGACTGGGCACTGACAGAAGCTAAAGGTCTAAGTAAAGGGGTATGTTCTGACACCTCATTTTCTTCTTGACTACTGTCTGTGTCAGAGTCTGAATCGCCTTGAGAAGGAACAACTTTTTGCTTGCAGACTGGACAGGTTTTTTTGGTTTTAGTTAACCAAGGGTCTACACACTTGCAGTGATAGGCTGTTGGAGCAAAATACACGTCTTCAGTTAGTATGCCGTGATTGACAATTTTATAGTTAAATCCTGTGCCATATTTACTCAGTATTCAGATCTGTTTGCAGCATGTAGGTCCAGAAGAAGAAAAGCTTGTAAATTTTCATAAATATACCTCCATCCTTGAATTGAGACCACTAATTAGTACAGGGCCTGGCTTATGGTGTGCTAATAACTATTTTCTGTCTCTTCCCCTATGATACTGAACCTAAATATAAATTGGTCTACATGTAAATTCAAAGCAGTATGTAATTACTCATACCATGGGAACAGGGAAGGATTCTGAGCTTGTCTCCGTCTTCATATTCATCCAAACAAATGGCACATACATCATACTCATCTCCTGTAACAGAATATAATAGTGAATAAAGTATGTGGAGAAGTAGGTTTAACCTTTCAAAAGCGTTTCGATTTAGGTCTTCCTCAGTCAGTTATTTTAAATGCCTTCTGATTTACCTTAATGATGCACCTTTTATTTTCTATCAGACCCAAGGATCTACTTAGCTATTCAAGTTCTAGGGCCTGAAGTTTTATTATAAGTAATCTTTTACCTAAAATGGATAACTTAAAATGATGTCAAATTTGTTTACTTTGTCTTTGCAAAAGATTTTAATAATCATAATCACATTAGCATTTTACATAACTATTCAAAATACTATTTTTGAAATACTGTATGCCAAGAAACAAAATTTCATTATTTAAATGTGTCAAAGTATCTGGGTTATCTTTAAAATAAAAATGGAAACATGTTAGAACATACTCAAATGTTTTTAATGTATTAGTGGGGGAAAAAAACCAGATTTGAAATGAGACACTGGGCTTCAAATCTCCAACATGTACCAGTTCTGCGATATTTGGCAGATTGCTTAACTGTTGGCCATCTAGTTCTTTCTCTGTAAAAAACTTCTATCTACCTTGCAGGTTTGTAAGGATGAATAGACATGATATGAGCAAAAGGCCAGGCACTTAGGAGTTCAATAAATGATGTTTATTAGTAATATCACCATTTTAATTATCTCATTGTGAAATTTATCTTTTGTAATCACAGAAGTTTATTAATATAGAGCTCTTTGGAGTTCCACTGAAGTTACAAGGAACTGGCAGTCTTTTAAATACAGCACCTTTTTCAGTTAATAGCTTGGACATGACTGTGACTGCTTCCAATAAGTGTTTTCTGTTAAATGATTATGTCAGATAAAAACTTGCAAAACTTTCAGGGAGTAAAAGACAGTTAAATTAATTGCCTATCCCACATTGGAGGGTGACAACTTTGGGAGACATATCAGAAATAAAGCCACTGTCTGAATATGTAGCTTAGATGAACAGGACACACAAAAAAAGAGACTGCTTTTGAAACAATCCCTTTAATGTCCATGTCCTCTAGTCATTTAAGACAGCACATTTAGGAGGAAATAGAAAGCTGTAGTAAATCACTAACTTTTGTCCAGTATCTTGAATTTGGTTACTACAGCATTATCCATCAAATACGTTCTATAACAAATATACATGTACATATGTGATTACCTGTAATTATTACACATCCATCTACATGGACTTTGAGGACAGACAGTTCCAGTATATTAAGCAATTCAATCATGCCTGACTTCTCATACAAATCAACCTTTTAGTCTCATTACCTTGTGAAATGCCTACTATAAACAGATATAGTTGAACATGAACAGACTGGCTCAAAGCTGTGCTAAAGCTCTAAGGCTCATTTTATTAAGGTAGGGAGATAAGCTTGTATTAACCACGTGGGTCCAATGTGATCACAAGGGTCCTAAAAAAGAAGAGGAAGACAGGAAAATTCAGTGTCAGAGGGAAATGTGACTGCTGGCTCTGAGGATGGCAGCAGGAAGCCAGAGTGTGGTGGCCTCTAGAAGCTGGAAAGGGCAAGGACACAAATTCTCCCCTAGAGCCTCAGAAAGGACGCCAGCCCTGCCAACACCTTAGACTTGTGTCACACTTCTAACCTACAAACACTATGTTTTTGTTGTTTGAAGCCACTAAGTTTGTGATTTGTTATCACTGAAATAAGGAAACTAATATAGGTAGTATTTGTCAGAGTTATCTTTAAATATGTGGCACTGATGCTTTGGAGTCACTAAGCTTTCATATCAATCCTTTAAATTGTTCCAAGTAATAGATTTATATTAATTTCTCATATTTTATTGCCATAGCACTTGCTTAGAAGATAAGATGACAAGTCAAGATTCAAGGGTGTATTTTGTGATCGCAGTCCAGGGAGTCCGGTACTCTGTAGAAAATTAACTCCCAGACTGTGACTTGTGATGAAATGGTAAAGCACAGCCTGGGGTTTACCATCCCATCCTTTTATTTATTAGGTATGTGACCTTCTGTAAGACATTGACCTTTATGCTTCTGTTTTCTCAAAGGCAAAAGAAAAATACACAACTATGTCTAGGGTAGTTGTAAGGATTAAAAGAGAGAACGCAAGTATAGTACCTCTTAACCAATTTCTACCTGGTAAAACTAGCCACTAGACCCACTGGCTTATCACGTGGTTTTAGGACTGTGGCTAGGAGGCTGTTCTCTAGCCCGCACTGTGCTTCTGTCTCATCCGGTGAACCGTGTGCTTAATAAGCTAGTAGCAATGGTCACTGGACCTGCTTGCTGTATGTGGGGTAATTATGTGATTTAGTTAAATATTCAGCAGTCCTTGAACTATAAGTGTAAAGGACTTCTGGTTTCATTTGAAAGCTAGGCTCAATGCATTAGAAACACTTTAAGAAACGAGTTGGTCCCCATACCTTGTCTGTAACCAATATGTGAATAAACTGGGTCCAAGTAAGAAAACTGTAAGATTGGACAAATTTATGTATCAATAACAAGCAAGAATGAAAGCAGAATCCAGTTTTTGTTCTATTTTTAAGTACCTGAAACTAAAAATGGTAGAAAATGCACCACGTACCATGACAATTTAGAAATCCAGTCAGTGGATTCATACTCAAAAGGCTGCAGTCCAACATGAAAAAATTTTTGAGTGGATTTATATTTATGTTTAACCTAAAATAAAGATACATTGAGGGCATTTATGTATTTTTATTATTTACAATTTTAGCAGAGTCAAAGTCACCTAGTGGTTCTGATAGCGTAAGAGAAAAGGGCTTAACAATTGCTTAGTGTTTTGTGTACTGTTTACACCATGCTAGAAAGTTCTGTCACTTAGTATAAATCAGTGGTCTCAACTGGGGATGCTTTTGCTCCCCAAAAGACATCTCATCTGGAGACATTTCTGGTTTTATCAGGCATCTAGTGTTCCAAGGATGCTGCTAAACATCCTGTAATGTACTTGAACAGCTCCCCGCCCCCCACACAGAAGTCCCCCATCTAAAATGTCAATAGTGCTGAGACTGAGAAACCCTGATATAAACCCCTCCAGGCTAACAGCTTTGCTAATTCACTAGTGGATAAGATGTCAGAAGTTGGAGGAGGGGTGAGATTCATGTTTGTTATGTGAAACAATACAGAAAACAGCTTCTGTCTGGAATATTTTTAGCATGGTTGTTGAATGAGGTTTCAGAAAAACTTCATGAAGATACTTTTAAAGTCTCATCAATCTGGGAACATCATACTACAAGGAGGATAAAAAAAACCCTGGAATTACCTTTATGGAGGGCAGACCCCTTGAAGTACAGGCTTCCCCTATTAGGGGAAGTGTTCTAGGAACCCAATGGCATCAGTGTTCCAGGTAGCATTATTGTGAGAGGCTGCTACTGCCATGAATTTTTTTTTTTTTTTTTTTTTGAGATTCTTTCAGCATGTTTGCCCATTTCATGATGGGTGATTTAAGAGCACACGTGCCCACGCAGTAATGAGCGTTCAGCAGTTTTGGACCCAAAACGGCATGACCTCTTTGCCTCATCCTCCTTATTCACCTGACCTCTCCCTGAGTGACTTTTTGTTTTCCTGGATGAAAAAAGTCCTCAAAGGTAAATGTTTCGGTGGTGTGGAAGAGGGGAAACAAAAAAAACAGCAGAAGCACTAAAAGGCATCTAAATTGATAAATTCAACAACTGTTTTGAGAGTGGAAAAAGCGCCTCAATAGGTGTATTGCATCAAATGGAGAGTACTTGGAAGGCGACTGAAGGTTAAATGTGTAAGAATAAATACCCAATTTTTTATAAATAAATTTCAGTTTGCTTTGGGTCCCCCTGCTCATACATATGTGGGGAGGACTCTGATTCTCCCCTTGAAGTCTGTTCCTCCCTGTTTTTTCCCTGTACATTGCAAGCCCCAAACCTTGGCTCATCAGGTACAGCAAAAGTGCTGACCCTTAGGGTCTAGGCAGCCACTGCAGTGGCAGGAACTGAAGATCAGGCCGGGGCGTATCTTGATGCCTCTTTCCTTCAGAATTTAAATTCAGTCTGTCATACAGCCTTGTAAACTTTTATCTGCAAAACATATCCCGTATTTGTCCCCTTCTCCCATTTCTTCAATTACTCTAGTCCTCAAGAGTCTGTACTACTCTCAGAGGCTCCTCTCTGGCCTCCCTTGTATTCCTGCCCCATGTAGTATTTCTCTTTAGCTGCCAGAGTGATCTTGTAAAACTGTGTATCACATCATGTCATTCCCATGTAAGTGGCTCCCCATCTCCCTAAGAACAACAGCTGAGCTCCTGCTTCCGGCCTGCCGGCAGCTGTGTAGGACCCAACCTCTGCCTGCCGCCCCTCTCATGACAGTCTACCCTGCACTCATGCTTCAGCCATGCTGGCCTTTCAGTCTTTAAAGAAATATGAAGTAAGTTAGGTGGGGGCCTGCATTTGTCCAGGCTATAACAAAAACATTTGGACATAAAATTAGAAATAGAGGAATCACCATTTCTGGAGATGACTCAAAACTGAACTAGTTTGAAATAATCTAGTCATAGTACAGATACACTGATGCAAAACTGAATGGTTCACTGCTATACCAAACTGGCCCAGGCATCAAATAAACCAAGCATAGCTTTCCTCAAAGTCAAAGATAAAAAAGAGATTGAACATTCAGGACTAAATACATATAGATTTCACTAGAGACAATGACTTAACATACGCATTATAAATAATCTGCCCAGGGATGCTGCTTCGTTGGGTTCATGAGTTTGCCACTTAGTCACCACTTCTACCAGTGAAGAAAACAAAAGCAAATAAAAATAAATGAACCTTATTTTCTGTTCTTCTTTCTTCCCTACTAGTTACCAAGAAATCTGAATAAAAGACAATAGGATAAAATATTTTTAAAGCCAAATTTGAGAATTCTTCATGATTATTTTCAAGCTCTGAGCAAAGGACTAATATTTACTTTTAAGTTTAGATTTAAAGCAGTTAAAATTGTAGTTAT